CTAAATCAAATTGAAAATGAAATGCATATGGATAACTTTTTCAAAGACTTTCTGGTATATCTACTACTAAAGTACAGAAACGTTATTCTTAACCTATCATGGGTACTAAACTTGTTACGTCCGAGTTTTATTCAAAAACCATGGAATTATCATAAAGAGGTTAAAACTTTTATGCAGCGTAAAAACAAAGATATTTTTCTTCTTGAATTTAAGATTTTTAAGAATTTAACATAATTTTTAAGATTTTTAAGAATTTAAGATAAAAATGTTCAATTTGAATGTCTTTCGAAATTATCTTCTATAGTTTGCTTTCACTGGGATTACTTTAAGAAGTTTTTAGACCAACATGAGTATATCACCAATAAATTTGTTTAGTCCGAGATTTTATGGATTTTGATTACTTTAGACGTGGTAGCAACTTTTGGAATGCAAGATTTTATGGATTTTGATTACTTTAGACGTGGTAGCAACTTTTGGAATGCAAGTCATTTCACCATCTTTCTTTTGGAATGCAAGTCATTTCACCATCTTTCTGTAAAACTAAAGGTAAAGCCACGCATTCTAAACTGTAAATATTCTTTAAGCAAGCTTATCTAATGATGTCATAAATGAACAATTATTTGAAATTAAAGAGCCATGTGTTCAAGGAGTATCAAAGAGACTTTTTGAAAATCTCATTAAAGAAGATTATGGCTTAAAAGTTGTTGAAGTAGTTCGAAAATACGCATCAAAGAACTTTGATGATTGCATTATTCTTGCAAATATAGTTCGGCTAAGTTTAGCTATAGTTCTTAAACAACAAAGAGGAAAGCATTATGGGTTTGAAGAAAGAAACAATGATGAATTGCCTGATGAGTATTACGTTTTTAATCAAGTCGTTGGAGTCGATAAAACAGTTACAAATAATATTGAACTTGAGCACTGTAAAAAAAATCTGTAGTATTTATCAGACTTTTTCCGTTGTTTTGTTACGGAAAAAATCCGTTTTCAATAATTTACGGTCTTTTACCTATACTTTTAAGACTTTGAAATAATCACATCTTTTTTTGTATGGGATTTTGACCGTATTTATGATACAGAGAAGTTCCGTAACTTTAAATTACGGACATTAACCGTATATTTTAGTATAGCCTCTAATTTACAGAGCGCCATAGTTCGTTTTAACGAAGAAAAACTATACACGTTTTTAATTTCAAGCTAGAGATTTGAATATATTTATATTTGTTTTACTGGAATTAAAGTGCTGTATGTTTTTAAAGAAGCGCATTCACAAAAAATTTAGGTGCTGATTGAGGATGCTGTTATAAATAGATATAGATGTTTATTAAAGATAAGTACTTCTAAAAATTAGTTTCCTATATTATATAGGGTTTATATGGTATAAAAATCTTTTCTTATGTATTGAATTTTTTAAAGTTCATACTATTTAGTGTTAAGTTTTTATAGTATATAAAAGAAACACTTAATAATATGAGTTATAGAAAATTCAATTCATGAGGAAAAGATTTTATAGCATTGTAAATACATAAAACATAATTTACTAAAAACCTATTGGTAAATTATTAGTTTTATTTATTTACAATGCTATAAAATCCTTTTCTTATGAATTGAATTTTCTATAACTCATTTTGTTCAGTGTTTTTTTTATATACTATAAAAACGTAACACTAAATAGTATGAACTTTAAAAAATTCAATACTATCAATAATATCTAAATAGAATTGTAAAAAAAACTTGACTTATAAGTCAAGTTTTATTTACAATTTTGTTTGTATATGTCATATATATAATAATATCTAAATAGAATTGTAAATAAAACTTGACTAATTAGTATTAAGTTACCTTTTATTTATAATTTTATTTACACATTATATTCAATTTGCTATTGACAGTGATATACTTGAGATTATTTAGTTGTTTTGCAATATATATATACATATATATATATATATATATATATATATATATATTATATATATATATATATATATATATATATATATATATATATATATATATATATATACATATATATATATATATATATATATATATATATATATATATATATATATATATATATATATATATATATATATATATATATATATATATATATATATATATATATATATATATATATATATATATATATATATATATATATATATATATATATATATATATATATATATATGTATATATATATTGCAAAACAACTAAATAATCTCAAGTATATATATATATATATATATATATATATATATATATATATATATATATATATATATATATATATATATATATATATATATATACATATATATATATACATATATATATATATATATATATATATATATATATATATATATATATATATATATATGTATATATATATATATATATATATATACATATATATATATATATATATATATATATATATATATATATATATATATATATATATATATATATATATATATATATATATTGATTAATATGACATAAGTCTTTTTTATCAGGTTGTGCAGCGACGGTTGCAGCAACTCTTAGGTATGTTTCAGTTTCGGGTTCGTTATTAGATACAAGATTAGCAATAACTCGGCGTTTGGATCTGCTAGACATCTCTAAAAATGGCATAGTTGGTCTTCCTCTTTTCATTTTTTTACGAACTGTGCAGCTGATGGTCACATTTAAGTTCTATTGGAAGCTCTTCCATGGTATTTCATGAACCTTGAAAAAGAAGAACCTTGCTTTCTTCAAAGTTTGTTGTATCGCTTTGTTTAATTATTTAACATTTTTTCTGTGTTCCAACATGTTTTTCTACTTCCCTTAGGGGTCGTCCATAAATTACGTCACGATATAAGGGGCAATGCAATGCAACAAGCATTTTTTAATAGCTATTTTTTAATAGCTAATAATACTTTTTAACAGCATTTTTTAATAGCTAGATAATGTTTATCATTTTGTGAATTGAAACAATTTCACTATAATTAATAATCATTTTTAAATCCGTTTACACAATTCACGGTTTTATTTATCTTTGAACTTTTTTTTTGAATTACGCAAGCGTTATTGGTTATTGATAGGAATGCCATCTGTTTTCTATTTTTGAAACTTTAGAAGAAAAAAAAAGAGTTTCTTAAACGAAAAAACCAATGTATCAAACAGTACAAAACAGACTAGGTTTATATCAAATTTGATTGAATTAAGTTTCAAGTATATATTACAAGTTAGATTTCCACCACAAGTTAGATTTCCACATAAACAGCGAAATTATATCTCTAGCTTTTAAGTTATAAGCTAACTAAAAAACTATAAATATATATATTTTAATTGGAAGTAAATAAAATTAAAATAGTTTTATTGCATATATCGATAGACTTTTTTATTATATTTACACTGATATATAAACTAATATGCTCGAAACAGCAGTTACGAAGTAATTAGAATAAACTCAAAATAGGAATTTTAACATAAATTTTTGTCAGCATTAGTTTGAGTCTAATGCTTACTCAATATCCACCTTTTTTTTTAAATCCAAACTAATCGGTTTTAGATGCAGCTACAAATAAGATATAAAATTGGCACTTAAAGTTAAAAAAATTTAAAACTTGTTTTTTTATGATTTTAGGCCATTTTTTCTTTTGTTAGGCTCCTTTGTGCCTGGGCTTCACTTAGATATGATTTAAATGAGTGATTAGGACAATTTTTGGGCCAATATGTACAAAAATTAGTTGAGTTTTTCAGCAACTTTATTTTTGCCGTTGTACTTTTTATCGTTCACGACAATTTGAGTAGTCAACTATTTGTTTTGTTTTTATGTACCAAGATTTTTTAATGCCATCATTTTTTGTTTGGAATAATTTTTTAAAAACAAATAAATAAAAAAAAATTTTAAATTTTTTTCAAATCAGTTTTTGTATTCTTTGCATGAATTTAAACTTTCTTTTTTTTTTATCACAAAGGGATCCATGGACTTTTTAATTATTTTGCTTTTATTTGTTGTTCTATTGGATTATTATTGTACTTAAAAAACACTTTTAAGAACTCGTTATAATTGGTGTGTTCAAGTCAAGGTCACATTCTTAATATATTTTTATCAAACAACAACTTTGAAAGATTTAAACAATGAACATGATCATAAAGTATCTGAAGTAATTTATTTCTAATTATATAAATACTGTTATTTTTTTAATCACCTACTTTAAATAAATTTATAAGGTAAAAGTACAAAAAAGTATATATACATATATCAAAGAAATATCGTAAAAAAAAGATATTTCTATTTCTTCAAGAGTTTGCATGAAAATGTTTCTCTGTTTTTTATATACTACCATTCTATTGATGATTTCAAAATTCTTTCAATATCTTTTGGGATTTTATCACTTAAAACCGTAAAAGCGGATTCTCTTTTTCAAAACTTATTACTAAATACAAAAATGACAAGACTTACCATTTTGCTTGCTTATCATGGCAATATTTGACGTAAGTAAATATATTTTCAAAGTTTTGTAAACTAAATATCCGTCCAGATAATAAAAGTCTCTGGGAAAACCTTACTTCAAACTGGATTTTTGTTTGTCGAATCACCTCTATGAAGAACTACTAAAAAGTAAATAAACATTTCAAGCTCAAAAATTTAATAAACCTCCAGCTAAATCTAAAAATTCTGAAATACACGTGATATACTATTAAAACTACGTTTAGTTTAAATGTAAGATTTTATCATGTTATTTAAATCTAACAATTCGATTATTTAATCGTTATTTTAATTTAATGATACATTGACTTGCTTAATAAAAACCAATAGGCTGTAATAATTAGTTATATAAATATTTGGAGATAATATATTATAATGGCATACAGTATTGAAACTTCTACAGCTTTTTGAGTGACTTAAAAAGCAAGGACTGGGAAACCTTTTTTAAAAAAGATCCAATAAAACTTTTGGAACTGTTTTTTTAGTGCTAAGTCTTATCAAACAAAACAGCTTACAGAGAAATCGAAATCTTTCTTTATATTAGAATCGTTAAAAAATCATTAAAAAATAAAACCGTTATGAGTATTTAAACAAACAAACAAAAAATCATAAAGATTCTTTTTATTCACTCATTTCAGTAGCTTTTTAACATTTTAATTTAACTGCATATATGCGAGCCAATCGTTAACAATGTCTACGGCATACACGTCAACGTCAACGAGATACACATCAACATCAATAGCATTCACGTCAACATTTGTTTTCTATTTATTTTTTTGGAGTTTAAAATAATTCTAAGAAAACTAATTAAAAATGGAATCTTGAAAAATGGCATTTCAAAGTTCAAAGAATTGTTTTTAAATATTTTATTCGATTTGCATGTCTTCGAAATATTGGGGTAGTTGAATAACGTTCAAGTGTTCATCTGTGAGTACAAAGATACGTGTTTTACTCGCTTGACAACCAAATATCCGCGAACAATTTCCTAAACTAACAATGAATTGCTTGTGTGTAACTTTGTTGTCCAAATCCTGTTCGTAAATGTAGATATTTGACGTGCAATCCGTTATAATGGCGTATTGATATAGCGGTGTACATAACGTAAATTTGTGTTCTCGTTTCGAGGCTTGAACATAGCCTAAAGCATCAAAAGTCGCAACATGTTGCCATGTCGAATCAGGAGACAATTCATTAGGTCTCCAGAGAATACCATCAACATCGTGTCGCAAACATAATAATGGAACAGATATTGGATTGTCTTGATATTGAAAAAGCCATTGATGACCAACTAAATTTATCTAGAAAAAAATTATATTTGATGTTAATGCATACAAAATACCTCAAAATAAAAAACATTAGGTGACGCAAGAAGCAGAATTAAGAACTAGCAGTGGCATAAACAAACATTAAAGTGACGCAAAAAACAGACTTGGAGTTGACAATAAATTTAATTTTATTATATATAAAAATTATTTTAAGTATAATTTTATTCTAAAAATTAAACCAATTGCATAAAAAAAAAAGGCTTGCTACAAAGCAAATGCCTAAAGTGTATCGTGGTGCCCCACTCTCTCCTAAAGCATATATTTATATATAGTCAGATTAGGATTAGGATCATCATAATTAACCTTCTGCTGATGTAATCCAGTACAACCTGCCTCATTTTCTGCTGAGTGGAAGGATTCTCTTTTTTTTTCCAGAAAAGGCTTCAAACTAACATGGACTGAAAATTCCCCTTGCCTTGGTTGAGTTAGCAAGATGTTTCTAAAAAAAATCTAAGACAGACTTTAACTGCATTTAGCTACTGCTTTATAGAAAGGGGTAATGAGAAACTTATAGGGGTAATGAAAAACTTTTTGTTGACAAGCTTTACACCTTAAAATGCTTGCTTAAATGTAGACTGTTACATTTTTTTCTGCCTAAGATAATGAATTAATGAAGTTTTGCATGTGTCTCATTGGTAGTGGCTATGCAAGCCTTTTCCTATAAAGGGTATAGCTTTAAAGTTCAGATTATTGGTTTTGAGGCCATTTGGTTCTAAGGTTTCCTTAGCATCAGCTGGTCTTTACTCCTTGGTAGTAGCTATACAAATTTCTATTATCTCCAAATGTGGGTACAGCTATAAAATTCACATTAAAGGTTCTGAGACTATATGTTATTAAGGTTTCGTGAACTGTGGTAGCTCCCAGAGAAGCTAATTCCAACAGCTGTAAAATATCTGAGTATTAACAATGACTATTCATGAATGGTTAGTACTTTTGGAGGGCATTGTCAAAGTCATACAAGTAACCCTTATTTATCAATTAGAGTTGAATAACAGAATAAAGGCGAATTTAAAGGCGAATTTCCCTGATTTTTCCTTGATATTTCCTTGAACCACTACCTGTTTTCCCTTATTTAAAAGTTACCTAAACTCAATCTCAAAAAAATTGAACTTTTTCCTCTTCAATTGCAAAAATATAAACAATAATACAACCCACCTTTAAATATTAAGAGAAGTTGCCAAATAAATCTGCCAAATAAATTTTTTTATTATGTGCACAATATAAAACTTACCTGAGTTACAAAAGTTTGATGAAGAGCCATTTTCCCAGATATGTCCCTGATTTTTCCGAAATTTAATTTAATTTTGCTGATTATTCCCTGATTTTTTTGCAGATATCCGAATTCCCTGATTTTACCCTGATCTGGCAGACACCTTGCAGAAATGAGGCAACCACATGGCTTAGGGTGTCATAAACAATCTAAGATTGAGTCAAGCTCTTCAATTAATAATACATAAACAATATGCTTTAAAAAATTAACGATACAAATCATCATAATCATGAAATTGATTTAAAAATATTTGCCATTTTTAAAGTAACTTAATCAATTGTTAGACATTTAAATCATTCATAATAATGCTACTTAAGTTATTTTCTATATTTTCTAATGTTCTCCTTACAAGATTCTTGTCTCAGTCTTGCAAAAGTGTTCTCAAAAATTTTTTTAAAAATTTTCTTTAAAAGCAATCTTCAAAAGTGTTATTCAAAATTGTTCTCTAAAAGTTTTCTTCAAGTTTTTTTTCAAAAATGGTTTTCAAAAGCGTTCTTCAAGAATGTTCTCTAAAAGAGTTCTTCAAAAAAATTATTTAAAAGTGTTTGACAACAGTGTTTTACAATAATGTTATCCAAAAGAACTCTCTTTACAACTCTCTAAATTTATTAACAAGAAAGCTGAAACTGAAACTTTATTTTCTGGCATCAGTTTAATGTTTGTTCCTGGGGTTTCTATTTTTAAAAAATTTGGAAATTACTAATTATCACCTAATCATTTAAGGTCCAATCAGTCTTCCACGAAGTCATTGGAATCATTAATTCTAACATTTTATCTTGAGTCTATTAACTTAATTTTTTTTTTTTTTTTTACAGTTTACAGATTTTTAAGTCATCTGTTAATCATTTTCTAGCATTAACTCTTTTTATTTTCTGTTAAATTTATTACAGACTTGTTAGAAGTTACTTGAATTCAAAGTTAACTTAGTGCTTTCTACAATTTTCTTTTACAATTTTTAGTTAACTTAAAATTTTAGTTAACTCACATTTTCAGTTACTTAGCCTTGTTGAAAGTTAACTTTAAAAAAAAAATACACAAAATAAAACATAAAATAACACACATAATCAAACTTTAGGTTATTTTGTTGCTGAAGAAAATTATAAAGTTAAACAATCTATTAAGATTAGTAATTTAAATCAATTAAGTAAAAATTATTATTTTAATATTTTGAGAAAACTAATTTTTTTTAAATATTCACAAATGTAATACCTATTTGGACTATTTATACTGACTTTAAAAAATAATTTAATTAAATAAAATTATAAACTTATGAAATATTGACTATATCAGGGAATGTAACATTTAGAAAAAATGCATAACACAAATGAACCAAAGTTTTTGATTATTTTTAACAAATTATAACTTTTTCAATAAATTTGTAAACATTTTACACTTTACCAAAATTTTGTTGGCAAACTATTACAAAAAAATATCACCTACCTCAGTATCAACTTGCCCAGTTGCGACATTAATAGAATAAACTGCAATCTCATCATCAATGTTTGAGTCACAGTCTTCTAACTGTTGCATGTTAAAGTTTGAATTTTCAATATCATCCTAAAATTCATTTTTCATGTTACTAACAGAGCATTCAAAAATATATAGGCTGAATAATGGAATTTATAAGATAAAAAATCAGAAAATCGGAAAGTTTATTTGATCACTTAACTCAACAAACAATATAATACTAAATAACATTGTTATAACAAATGTCAAATCATTAATATAATAAACAAGGATTATCCGGGTCATATTTTAAAAATCTGGAAACTTTTCCTAAAAATATACAAAAAATGTTTTTAACAAGCATAAATGCATTTTGTGTAATTAAGAATATTTCATGAGTTTGAAAAAAAATTAATTTGTACGCATACAAATGTAAAAATGTGCACTTGTTTTATTTTTGACGCAAGTAACTTTATGAAAAAGTTGATGTTAAATTACTAAAATTGTGAGACGTGGCTTACAAACCTTACAAAGTAAGACGTGGCCGTGGCTTACAAAGTAAAACCTTTAAAACTTGCAATAAATTTTTTTTTTTTTAAAGTTTTATTTTAAGTTTTATGTTTTTTTACTACTATTGTTTATTTTTATAAATGTTTATAATTAATTTTTTTTTCAAAGTTTATATAGAAAGTGTTAATAGAATCAATGTGTACATAAATCAACTTAAACAGTGTTTAAATAGTGACAGTATTTATTTAAATAGGGTTTATAAATAAACTTAATTTATATTAAAAAAAATTATTTAACTAAGTTACACTATTTTTAGATGAAATAGTTAAAAAAACTAATAAATATACACCCACAAATAAGAAATAATTGGTTCACACATACAAATAATGTCTAACCTAATTAAATAGCGTTAAGTAATTAATGAACAACACCTTTACTATTTTAATTATTTGATGACAAAATCATGTAGAAAAAATTTCAACTTGTATTTCGAGAAAACTATATGGATATATGGAAAAAATAAAATTTTAAAAATCATCGGAAATTCTAGAAATATCCAAAAAAAGGTGAATGAGAAACCATAAAACTCCAAATTTAATGAAAGAACCAATAACAGAGATGCAAAAGCAAATCGATTGTCTGGGATTCCAAACCTTGGTTTGGGATCCTAAACAAATGATTTTAGAATTTTAATGAATTTGATCTTGAACAGTTTAAAGAGTTTGAACAGAAAATTTTCATCCTAATATCATACCTAGTATGATATTAGGATAATAATTTTCCTTCTTTTAAATTTATATAATTAAATATATGTGCTATGCTTAAAGGTGCGTTTCCACTCATCCGTTTATTTATGGGAACAGGAAAGGGAAGGGAAAAATAATCACGTGAGCATGCATAGTTTTCCTTTGGACATATTAAAACTTATACTACGCATCCTCACATGATTATTTTTCCTACACCTTTCCTGTTCCCATGAAAAAACGGATGAGTAGAAACTCGCCTCAAAGTTGGTGCAGGGGAGAAAAGGAAAACCATCAAGTTAGTTACGTGGTAGATACTACTAAATGTTACAATAGCAAGAATTCCCCTCAAATTGTTCATCAAAAAACTCCTTTTAATGTCTAAAGGTGTACAACCCTTATGATTCTACTTCTCGCAAACCTACAGATATAATGAAATTTGAGTGGCGAGATTGACAGGTTCCATCGCTCTACCTGGATCAATGTCATGAATTGAAAAGAATGACTGATTTTATTGTGCTGTTTCGTGCAAAGGCTTTTTTACAAAGTTGCACTTTGTAAAAAAGACTCTCCTGTTGGCTCATTCCGTTCGCCTTAAAGAAGACTTCATTAGTCTAAAGATGTGACAGAGTGATTTTAAATATGACTATGGATGGGAGGTCATAAAAAAGTTTGAAATTGTGGCAATCTTAACAGGCATTTATGTTAATTGCTGAAATTAATGCTTAGTTGTATATTCCTATATAATTGTAACTACAATTATACAATTACATTATACAATAAAATATATAATGAAATTGTATAATTGTAAATTCTGAAATTTAGTTATTTCTTTTTCTTTTGACATATTAGAATTAAATATATAAAAACTATTTGAAGACACTAATAGTTTTTAACTGAACTAAAACATTTTTTAAAATCTCTTTTTTAATCATTATTTTTATTATGAAATCTCTAATTGTAAATGTAAATTTCTAATGTAAACCATTTAAATTTTTAAATAATTCTTTAAAGTTTCTTATAAACAAAAACTGCATTTTAATGTTTCACACAATGCACAAACAGTTTAGGTATAATTTTTTATTTAATGAGTTCTTAATTACCACGCATATTTTTTGTGCCTTTAGCAAATTTTTTTTTCTTATAACTTTTTTACTTATTATCAGAAGCAATTCTACAGAAGGGGTGACAGGGGGTTTAATATCAGAAGATACTGCTTCCAGTGTCTACTTAAACTTCACCTCTAAAAAAAACTTACAAACAACACTCTTCATCAATAAAGATCTTCAATAAAAACAAACAATTAAAAATAAAAATATTTAAAAAGTAAAAATAAAAATAACATAGAACTAAATACTAATAGAAAAACTAAATACTAATAAAATACTAAATACTAATAAAAATAAAAATAATAGAATAACTAAAACTAAATAGAAATGCAATAAAAAATATTAAAGAGAAATGAATAAATAAGAATATTTACAGTCAAAGTACTTGTTGTTAGATAATCCAACTTTTGACTGAATTCATTAATATTATCCTCTTCATCACCTGTAACTTGATGTACACCATTATTATCAGAAGGAACTGGGCAATGCCAAAAGACTCCAGGTGTGTTTTTCCAAAGAACTACCTCTAATCTAATAAATATGTCACATAAATTTTTTAAAGTTTTTTTTTTCAAAATTATTATAAATAATGAAATGAAATTTTATAATTCTTATGAATGTTAACTAATTTTAGTTAACATTCATAAGAATAATTTATTTTTAAAATAATATTAATAAATTAATTTTTAATATTATATTTTAATAACTTTAATCATTAAATTTTTATAGCAATTGAAATGAAAGAAAGAAAAAAAGAACTTGAGTTAAGAACATTAATACAATTTATATAAACCAACTTTATTCATAGACCTGCAACAAACAGTATTCATTTATTCATTTTAGTGTTTTGTTTATGCGGTTGCTCAGGGTTGGCCATTTTTCCAATATATACAATCTTAAGCATCTTCTACTTGTAACTGAAGCATTTTTATGTTATATGTAATGCACACTCTTTAACTATTCTTACTTTTACCTCTACCTTTTCTTCCTGAAAATCTCTCTACACCCTAATACCTTATCACCTGCATCATTACACATTACAAAACAAGCCCAAACTACTTTAGTATTTTCTGGCACACCCTATCAAGAACACTCATTATAAAAAATCTCTTTTAAGATTGCTACTTCCAGTATCATAACACTCTCGATGCATATAATACTTTAGATGATTTGGCTTTCCAAGACTTATATATATATATATATATATATATATATATATATATATATATATATATATATATATATATATATATATATATATATATATATATATATATATATATATATATATATATATATATATATATATATATATATATATATATATATAAGTTAAGAAAAAAGATTTTATATATATAAATATATATATATATATATATATATATATATATATATATATATATATATATATATATATATATGGGCAATTCCGCGAGAAAGAGGAAAAAAAAAAAAGTTAGAAAGACACATACTAACCTCAATAAACTCTTTTTTTAACTATTTAAAAATACTTTTAAGCAAAAAAGTTATTTAAAAAGTTATTTTATCATACCATAGCATGGCTTTGAAGTTGTAAGGGTTATATAAACATTTTTTGACGTTTTTATATAGTCCTATTGTGAAGCGTTAAAAAAGGTTTCAATGCTGCGTTTTTAAGTAACTATTACTTCTAAATTTGACTTAAAGACATAAATAAACATTATATAAATCATTTTTTATAAAAACGCACTCCAACTATGTATAGAATAAGAATATATTTATCAAATAATGCGTTACGACCGTCACGAAAAAAAGTTGAAAAGTTTTTTCTAGGCTTCGTATTAGACTTTATAAAACTAAAAATATAGTAAAAGTAAATATGCTGATATAAGTTTTATCATCGTTTCAATTTTTTTTTTAAAAGAGCTTCAGATGATTGTATTAAGATGTAAACAAAGTATGTTACGACCATCACGATATGCTTGTTTTTGCATAACAGCTTCTTGACTTTTGAATAAAAAGTTTAAGCGAGAATGATTTTATTATTGAAACCAAGTTACAAATTAATTTCGTTTGATTTTCTGTTTGTTTACTCAATAGATTGATAAGCTTGTTAAAGTTTTTCCTATTTCTTTTTTAAGATATACATCACTTATTTTAAATAATTGATGTAAATAAATTAATATTTGTAAAGAAATAAAAACTTTTAACATAAAGAAAACTTTTTTTTAGTTTAAACGTTGTTTCTAGTTTGCATTGCAACTTTTTTGTTCATTAGATTTCGGGGGTTTTTTATTTATAAAATTCACGGATTTTTTTTTAACATAACAGAACGAAAATTTCAAACGGAAGCTGTCGCATTTAACAACATTTTTAAAATGCCTAAATCAGATGCTGAAAGATCAAAAGCTTATAGAGCAAGAAACAGACAAGTGCTGTTGGAAAAAGAAAGAAAGAGAAGTTATCAAAGGAGACAGTTATTAACACCAAGAAAAGAAAATAAGCAAAAAAATCAAGCAAAAGTTCGTAACCGAAGGTTAAGAATAAAAAAAAAACTTGAATTAACTGTTAACACTAGTTTGAATGTTACGCCTGATAATTCCTATAACTGCAAATCGTCAATGACAAAAGCATTAAACAAGTATTTAATTATATTAAACTATATTTTTTAATGTTATTGCTTTCGCATAATTTGGGTTTTTTTTATATTAAATAAAAATTTTAGAACAAAACGGGCTCTTCCAAAGTCTCCAAATAAAAGACGAACTATTTTAGAGCAGTTAGGTGCTGAATATGGCTTATGCACTACTGAAGAAATCATGCGAGTTCGCATCACATCAGAAGAAATTGAAAAAGTAAAAGCATTTTATGAAAGAGAAGATATACCAATAATGTCTCCTGGAAGAAAAGATTATATTAAAATTGACGGAGAAAAAGTTCAAAGGCACTATTTAGTTATGAATTTAAAGGACCTGCACCAATTGTATTGTGAAGAGGGTGCCAGCAAAAATGTTAAACTAACTAAATTTTGTGAACTAAGGCCAAGATACATTCTTACATGCAAAAACGCACCACTTGAATCATGTGGTTGTGTTTATCACAGTAACTTTACTTATTTGTGTGCTGCTTTGGCAAGTAAAATACATTTTCCATTGTATTGTAATAAATGGTTAGAAAAATATGTATTGTGTAAGCCACCTAGGTCCCAATGTTGGATTATGAAATGTTCGTTATGTAGTGATTATTTAAATTATTTAAAGTTTCTTTGCCAAAAAACAGAGACATGAATACATTCATCACCTATAGTTGGTGGATAAAAGATGATCATCGCTGTGTACTCAGTGAACATAAAAAAAACTTAACAGACGTCTATAAACACTTTTGTGACTATTTACCAGAGTTTATTGAGCATCATCTCACTAAAAAGCACCAGTCTGAGCAATACCGTAGTCAAAAGGAAAATCTCAAACCAGACCAAATTTTGATACACTTTGATTATTCACAAAACTATGTATGTGGTTATCAGGATGCTGTTCAAGCTGCTTATTGGTTGCAGTCTAGTATTACTTTGTTTACAGTTGTTATCTATCGTTACCAATTAGAGCCAAAATCAGTTGTAATAATATCCGATGATAATGATAAAACAAAGCACTCCACTACTACTTACTTAAGTGAAATATTTAACCTCTATTGCATTGATTATATAAAAAAAGTTATATTATGGAGCGATGGCCCTTGCACTCAATTCAAAAATGGCCAAATTCATACAACATTGCTCTGTGAAATACCATTTTCAATCTATAGAGTGGAATTTTTTCGCTACCTTTCACGGTAAAGGAGCAGTTGATGATGTAGGAGGATCGTTGAAGCGATTTGTTTGGAACAGAGTAAAATCTCGTGAAGTTATAGTTTTAAACGCTAAAGACTTTTAGCATCAAATGGGAGCAAAACTTATGTTAGACTAATCAACGCAGATGACATTAATCTAAGGTGGGCCATTATAGCTGATCAAATTGAATAAGCGAAAGCCGTTAAAAATATTACCAAAATGCATTTTTGGCAAGTCAAAAATGGAAAGTTTTTGATTTCAAAGTTGTCGAATATTTTTCACGGGTTTTAACAATTTTAAAATTAATATTTTTTCTTTACTGAAAGAACTATTTTATAAGCTTATGTTGGGACCAGGGAGCATTAAGAGCATAAACCATTAAAAATTTAGTAAAGTAATAAAGTATAAACAAATATTTGGTACAAAGCCAGGTTTTGGTTGCCTATTCCAAATTAAACGAACCCAGTATCAAAAAACCATAACTGAGAACTTCGATAATGTTATAAAATTCATACTTTTACAAAGTTTTTATAAGTTTACATGGTTTTTATAATTATTCATTTTTTTTTTTTTGATTGCGTCGTTTTATTTGTTGTTTTTTAAAATTAGATTTTTCGTTACGACCGTCACGGTTATGACCGTCACGACATAAAAAATACAGAAATGTTTGTAAAAGTTCAAGTAAAAACTATGAAACTCTGCATATAATAACATCAATATGTGATAAATGCACACAGCAAATGATTTTTATTTTTACCATGTCGTTCGCTGCATTTAGTCTGGCAGAGTTGTTTTGTTTAGAAGCGATTAAAAATAAGCGTTACGGCCGTCACGCTTCGCCGAGTTAATTTTTGAAAAAAGTTTAAGACTTCAATACTGCAACTTTTGCTTACTAAATTATATAATAGTATTCCACATTTCTGGAAAGTTTCAAGTTGTCTCCATTTTTGGTTCATTTTTAATAGTTTAAAGAACGTCAGATGTTACAACCGCCACTCTCACGGAATTGCCCATATATATTTGAGTCTTTATATCATAAAACTATTTTGACTGCATAAAAAGGTTAGATAAAAAAACTTAAGATTTTAATTTTTTTAAATTAAATTCACAATCACAATCCCATCTGACTGTCAAGATCGTTTAATTCAACTTTTAATGCGGATTTTAAAATTTATTCCAATCATTAAAAGCGATATATGTGTTGTAATAAAGAATTTTTGCTATAATTTTTGAGATCAATGTTAAGTAATGTTATTATGCAAAATAATAATACATTTTTAAAGTTTAACATTTAGAATCATATAATCAAAAATTTAATTTGTAAAAGAATAAATAAAGTGAATAAAAAATTATTTGTTGACCATTTAAAAAATGTAGTAATTTTTTTTTCTCTCCTTAAGTCAAGACCTTAAGGTCCATGTGGGATTCCTGCATAACCTCTTGGGCTGGTTGTTGATCAGCGATGCACACCTACTTTATCAGCTTAATAAGCTTCAACAGCTTAATAAGCTGGTGTGGATAGAATGATGAAAATTGGACCTTCTTGACTCTTATGGGTGTTTCTATGGTAGTAGCTATGGAACTTATTCTGCTATTTTCCAATGAGGGTACAGCTTAAAAAATAAATTTAGTGGTTGCAAGGTCACTGGTAGTAAAGTTTCTAAACTCAGTGAAATATCTCAGAGAGGCTGATTCCATTAACAGCTGTAAAATATCAGATTAT